CTTCAGGTGAGCTGTGAGTGGAAAACGCACGCGGCTGTGCGAGGGAAAGAGGATCTTTTGTTGCTACCTTTGTGTCAATCACAATAATAATATACATATATAGTAGTGTATATATAGTAATATACATATACAATATAGTAGTATATATATATATATAGTAATATATATATATATATTACTTGCCTACGCTGGGCATGAGCACTAGTGCGGTCAGCACTTGAAGAAAGGCAAGCGGCTGATAGACTTTCCAAGTATACACCACTGGTGACAAGACTTGAACATATTTTAGATACATCCAACTGTTGTGGAGATGCTTAGGTCGAATTGGTTTCCATTTTTGGGTGACCAGCTTTGCTTTGAACTTATTGCCTATTGAAATTCAGCGATCATGCGCTTGGCCCTGTCAGTTGCTGGAGCACAACTCTAACTTAGGACTCTAGAACTTGTTGCAGAGTATATAGTGCTTAGTGCTGGGGCAAAGGTTGAACGCACTGTTTCTGGTCATGTAGGTCAAAGTTCCACTTGTACTATGAAAACCTCGCACCAGCCTTGGGTCAAAAAGAATATATATATATATATTAGGTTGGAACGGAACATCAATCATCATGAGAAATCCAAGATGTCAATGACCGATACATGGCAAAAGGGCGCTAAAACCTAATCCTGTGTCAAGGCCAAGCCATAGCCATGGCGTCCACGGACATGCAGGAGATGTACACGGGTTATGACAACTCAGGCTACATGGGTGTGTATCCACAATGGCAAGAGCAGTGGAACTGGGGCACGGATGCAACCGACTACACAACAGGAGAGCAATTTTGTGGCAATGTGGCTTTCTTTGTTCAGTTCCCCGGCATGGTTGGTGGAGTGCCAATGGCAAACACAAACACCAACCAGGAGAGTTTGGAGACTTCGCAAACAACTACATCAAAAGGCAACTTGCATGAGATGGAAGCCAAGATGGCGAAACTCCAAGCCGAAAACCAGAGGCTCATGCACCTTTATGAGACCGAGCGCCAGATGAGGCAGATCGAGGTGCGCGCTAAGCAGCAAATCCTAGAGATGTATGCTGTACCACGCTCAGAGGTGGAACAATTGGTTCGACGCTTTCAGGAGGACAGTCCAACTGCCATGCACTATGGTGAGACTACCACACCCTTTGTGTCCGTGTCAAATGCCAGCACCAGGGCAGGATCGCCTGGAACCACAGGAACCTCAGCCACATCATTAGAAACCCTCCTCCAAGATCTCTACAAGAAGCTTTATGAGCCCGACGGAGAACGCGAGACTCAGGAGGAGTCTGGCACCAGAGATGAAGTTGGCAAGGGGTCTTCCATGGTCAAAACCGAAGAAGAGGAACAGGAAGAGCTCAAGCAGCAGCTGTCCCAGTTGCAGAACATGGTAGAGATGGAGGTTGATGAGCGTGCTAGGGCAAGTTTGTTGAGGATGTCACCACAACAGGGAAAGATCGCTCTGCGCAAGGTAGAAGACATCATCCAGGAGCAGGGAGGCTTTTGCCACAACCTGTCATCAATGGTACAATCCATTTGCCGCAAGATGGGATACATTTCGAGACAATGAAGATGATTTATGTCAAAAATAATACATAATGATGAATTATGTTTGATACTTTTTCAAGAATACACTTCGAATCACTTCGATATAGTCAAAAGGTTCTAGCTTATTTGGCGAATTGTATCGCCAGTTTGTTGGCCAGACTTGCTTGCACTCTGACAGGTGTAGCTAGACTTTCGACAAACCGTTTAGACTCCCTGTTTGGATTGGTCAAGATAATATTGAGAATCGCAGACCTGGGATTATTTCTCAGCTCAAGCAGCTTTGCAACCGCCTCCCAAACCGTCCCCTGAGCTTCAAGTAAGACCTTCTGTACCATCATACAATCGCTCTCAAAATTCGTGGATCATGCTCCTATCGCCAAAGAAGCCTGAGACAACTTAGTGGTGCTTGCGGAGCAAGAGTCTCAATAATTTTGCACCATAACATACTCAGGCCAGCCTGTTGATGTTCCGCACCCTCGATCCCACAGTGACGACACAAAATATCAAGCTTTTGCGGCACTATGTGATATATACATTGTACATAACTTGGTTCGTTTCGCACTTTGGAAGACACGCCATTTAAGATCTCAGTTCCTAGTTTTCCTCATTGTATAGTATAACTAACTAGACACCTTTTCAGATGCATTTCCCGCGTTTGTAGTGTACAGCCCATTTTCCATTTCACACTTTTGTTCACTCGTATTCCCTAGGCCCGTGACCGCAAGTTGGAGTTGACAAACTGTTTTGACATGTTTTGACCTTTGGCGCTGCAAGGCTTCACCAGTGTCTTGTGTGTTTTTTGATGTTGTCTGACTGAACAAGATCTCCTTGAAAAACCAGGCCCTGCTTCAGGGTTGGGTACGGCTCAAGCAAGTAGCTGTGACCCGACCATGGATATGTCTGGAATGCTTATGACCACAGGAGCGGCTTTGCTCATGACTCATTGCTGCATTTTTGGTTTTGACAACTCCATTTGCTCAGCAAGCTTTTTTTATATGTAGAGTCCCTAGCTTTACTAATTAATTCCGCAGGCTTTGAGGTTTTGTTGTCCACTCACGCATGTCATTATAATACAATAATATTAAAAAAATATATATATTTATTTATTTATCTAATATTTATATATCGTACGTTGGTTCTGGCTCGTTGGGCACTGAGTATACATTTTTCCATAGATTGAGAGCCGTTGACATTGCCCAGCTGCCGCTAGGGAGCAAGTATTTGCTTGTTTGATTCTTGAACACACATTATTCCGTTTAAGACCGACATCATGTTCACTGTAGGTTTCAAAACGTGGGAAGTTGGTGTTCACAGGACTGAACTTTCAAAAGATCCCATGGCAACGAATACCGATGGAACCCTACATCTCCCTTCACCAATTGTCGTAGTAGTATGTAACCACCATCGAACACCAACACGAACCCATCCGGAGCTTGGGCATGCGGATTTCAGGAAGTCATTTCCATCCTGCGCCGTGTTGCCTCTGCCCTGTGGGATGGGCTGGATGGACACAAGTCCAACGAACATTTGGACCGTGCCTTGTGGGATGCGCGTATTAAACAGTATCGCTCCTCCTCCAGGGCTTGCATGCACATCGCGGCCATTTGTACTTTCGGTCAGATGCTGCACTTGCAATGGAATCAAAACGCACACTCACGCTGGCCCTTTGCGATTTCAATGTCTGCATGGGTTATGCATCTGATAATCAGTTCCGGCATCTTGCAGCTGAATCGCGTGAGGTGTAGGCTTTTTGTTCTTGCAACTTGGCATTTGAAAGTGTTTTTCATTCTGTAGCACTTAGTCATACTTGGTCTATATAAGTTTCTCAACGTCTTTTCAAGGACTTTCTTTACAGCATAGATTGTCTTTGTATAATAGATTTGTTTTTGCCTCCGTGGATTTAGTCCGGAGATGCCCCCAGGTGATGTATTTGATGGTTGGGCTTTGGGTCCATGGGAACCCTGGCGATTGTCAAAATGCACTCATCCTCTCCAGTGTCACCATTTCTGTGCGTTTTGCTGTCGCCACGTTTTTTGCGGATTTCCAAATCGGAGTTCCGGCACAGTCTTTGTTGAGCCTCCTGGAAACATGGAATGCTTGGAAGCGTGATCCTGCTTCTGTACATATCTCCTGTCTTCATCAGCTTACAGTGCCTTGTCAGCGAAACCAAGTCCAATAAAGGTACAATGTGCATCAATGAGCAAGGTTTACCTGGAGGAAAGGAGACTCATGAGAAACAGTGAAACTCTGTCGCTCGCCGACAGCGGTCAGGTCTTAGCTTTCATCATGGTTCTAGCGGGCTTGATGGAATTCCACAATCGCTCGCGGATTGCGCTGCTCACGAATTCGGAGTCCATGATCCTGAGCTTCCGAAGGTTTCCCGAAGATTCAGCCGTGCATTGTGCGCGGAAAGGTTCAAGGCAGATTCGGGCCAGTTGGCCAGGCTGTGGTGAATTCATCGTGACAAGATTGAAGTTTGGATGGTAACCATGTGATTACCATGTTGTGGGTAGACACATGTATAGCTTGATATAGCTTGTGCTTGTTGGGCATCTAAGGGTGCTGCGTGGGGTGTGCGATGGCGAAGTTCTGCTGGACAGCCAATTACGAGTATCGGGGAAGGCCGGCTGCTTGCAGACTCTTTGCTGCATTGTGTGGTAGAGTGGTAGACCTTTGGCGGGGTTCAATCTTCCAATTGGCGCAGCAGCCGACTGGAAGTGATCGCACATGAAGACTGATTTGTGTATCGAATTTTGAAATGACGTTGATGCGGTGCTCAAGTCAAAAGGGTGATCCAGGGGGGCCCCGCATGAAACCCTCAGCACTGGCCATTCTGTGGCTGGCCAGGCTGGCTGAGGTGGGATATCGGTCCATCCCTAAGGAACCGAGGCTTCAAGATCAAGGCCCATCCCTGGTGAATCAGACCTGCTCGTGCCAGTGCCTTTGCAGTCCAGGTCATTCGAGGACGTTAGACTTGTCGTTGGGATTGGTGGTTGGAGTCCTTCTCGCAAGCGTGGTCTTTTCAGTGTGTCGGCTGAGTTCCTCAAGAGGGCAGGCTGCTGAGGGAGATGAGTCATTTGTTAGTCCGAGGCGACGCGGAGGAGGTGTTGTCCAAGTGCCATCCAGGACAGCGGGCTATTGTGTGGTTTGCTGATGACTCAGTTTACCACGAGCGTTTGATGATCTGGAGGGTTTCAGGCACAGTGTGGTACATCCTCACGCCTGACGGTGATCTCTATCAGGAGGACTGGTCAGGGGTTGCCGATGACGGGCCAGTCAGTTTCAAGGTAAAAGGCATTGACTTCAGCTATTACTCTCGAGTGCCTCTCCCCATCTACCGCTTTTCTTCCTACCCGGATGACAGTGCCTTCAAGAAGCATGTTGAAGAAGCATTGACAGAGCTAGGTGAGTTGGGAAGCGGGGAGTTTTCATGGATGCCCCGAAAAGCCATAGATATGTCAGGAAAGGAAGTTGAGGCGAGCGCATATTTGGGACGCCTGTTGGTGCCTCGGAGGATTCGCAGACGCGATGGTGGAGTTATCACCGAACCGGCCAAAGCCTCGGAGGTGCCAGCGGGCCACCCAAAATCTGGGCTCGAGACACCAGCAGAAGGGTTCATGTGGGTGGCCTCTCATGACTCCCCTGATTTTGATTTGGGGAAGGAAGTCTTTTCTGGATTAAGCCGTGGAGTCATGCTGGACTCAAACCATGGGGCCATCTTAGGAGACTCGGGATGGACAACAGTGAAGTTGATGAAGGTGGAAGAGGTGCCAGGCTTCATCGAGGAGCGAGAAAAGTTGGTGCGTAGTCGTTTGGAGCTGAGAGGACAATCCGTCCACATCGGAGGAGGTGGTGGCAAGAGAAATGAGGCAGAAGAGGCAGAAGAGGCCTCAGAGGATGCTCGGACTTTGAGTGTCTTCTATGATGACCAGGGCGAACGTTATCGCTCCTGGCGTGAGGCCACCAAGGACACTCGAGAATACTCCTACTCCGATTGGCCGCTGGAGGGTCCTCAGTCCGTTGTCCACCTCATGAAGTACATGTTGAAGAATGGGGGCAGCCCAAAACAATGGCTACTGGTGTGGGCTCGTCACAAGGGAGTTCACGACAATGACCGGGTGATGCATGAGATGAGGGCCCTGCTCGAATGTTTCGAGCAAGCTGGCTGCTACGATCAGTTGAATTTGGGAAGCCTGGCTTGCTTTGAGACACTGTGTCGTCGCATTCAGAGCATTGTTGATGCATACAACAGTGGTTCAGCATCTTCACCCGATTGGGGCGCCGCCAAGATCATGTCAGGCTACCAGGGGCCGGAGGACTTGGTGTCGCCGACCCTCCGCTCATGGGCAGCTAAGAAGGAGAAGGAGGAGGTCGAGCTTGCAGCTGCCAGAACGAAGATGAGAGAGTTCAAGAAGTTGCAAGCGCCCGTTGAAGAAGCCGCTGCCGCTGCCGTCGCTGAGGGCAGCCTTCCTGCAGGCGGAGGAGCCGCTAAGCCTAAGCGCAAGGCTAAGGCCAAGCAGCTCCCTCCGCCGGAGAACCAATGATGAGTGGGCCTTGGAATCCTCCTGATGCCTCCAAGGGGGATTCCATAGGGCTGGCAGCAGTAGGAGGCATGAAGCCAGATCCAGCCGTAGGCAAGAGAGATCTTTTTCCTTTGCCAGTGCCTTCACTTCACAGCAGATGGCACGGCGCCAGTCGCCGCTCACAGCAGAGGAGTGATAGGAGAAGCAGAGGAGAGGAGACAGTGCGTGAGGCCGTGATGGCCTTGAATTGGTTGGCTGGCTATGATTTTTTGCATGGCACAGATGGTGAGCCTGACCCCTTACAAGTTGAGGTTCTCCAACGAATTCGCGAACTTTCCAAGGACGCTGGAAACATAGGCACCTTGGGATATGTTCCAACTCCAGAGGCAGCCTTGCGAGAGCTGCTCAAGGGAAAATCGGAGTACAACCAGCCCGAGATCCCTGTTGCTTTAGCCCCCTACAGTCTCGAGCGCATCTCTCTACCAGCTTCACTCCATGACCTTCCAGAGGCCAAGGACTTGCTGCCCAAAGATGCCCGTCGATATTTGTTGGGTGAAGAGCTCATGCTTAGGGAGGGAGAAGTTTTTGAGTCTCCCCGCCCCTATTGGGATCCTGTTTTGGCAAACAACAAACGATGCTACCGGGAGTTCATTCAACGTCTGGACGACATAGGACTTTTGCAGTATACTCAGAAACCCAAAAACGAAGTTGGCGTGTTTTTTGTGCACAAGAGTGACAAGAAGAAGATTCGTTTAATTGTTGATGCCAGATCCGCAAATGCCCTTTTTCGAGACCCTCCGGGAGTTGAGCTTTGTTCAAGTGAAGGGTTCAGCCGAATTGAATGTGAAGTGTCCTCTGACGCCAAGCCTGGAAGCCCCGAGTTTCTGGAGGAGCTTAGAACCATGGAGCTTCACGTGGGCCTTTCGGATGTGAAGGACTGCTTCCACAGGCTCAAACAACCGAGGTGGCTAAGTGAGTACTTCTGCTTGAAGCCCATTCGAGCTCACTGGGTGGGTTTGGCCGGCAAGTATTTGGAAGGGGTTAAGTTGGGTAGCAATGACCTCATTTATCCCATGCCTGGCAGCTTGTGCATGGGGTTTTCATGGAGTCTTTATTTTTGCCAACAGATCAACGAACATCAGTGCGCTTTGACTCGCAGTTTGGGGGATTCGACATTGATCACTGACAAAGGCAAACCAGTCGTCTTCAAAAGTTCGAAGTGTTTGAAAGAAGCAGAGTCCACTACAAGACATTATGTCTACGTCGACAACCTTGGAGTCCTGTCGCCTCACAAAGCGGTCGTTGCAACCGCCCTCCAGGAGTTGGACGAGCACTTTGGAGGGCGGGGCTTGTTGCTTCACCCAGGAGAGGTGCACAGCAGTGAGACACGGGCGCTAGGGACTATTTTGGACGGAAACAATCTTTGTTCAAAAATCACACCTGAGCGCTTTCACAGAGTTCGACAGAGCATTCGAGGGTTACTCAATAAGAAGCGTGTGACGGGACAGATGCTAGAGGTGGTAGTGGGGCACGCCACCTTTTGTGCCCTGAACAACAGAATGTTGCTGTCCGTTTTTCACAGTAGCTACAAATTTATCAAGGCACATTATTTTGAGAACAGCGTGATTTGGGATTCAGTGCGGGCCGAACTGACAGCCTTCGCAGGACTGATGATCTTCCTGCGGTCGGATTGGTGGCGGCCTTGGAATCCCTTAGTTTGCAGCAGCGATGCCAGCAACACGGGTTATGGAGTGTGCACTTCTTTTTGGAGTCTCGAAGATGTGGCCAGGGTTGGGAGACAGAAGGAGCGTAGCCGGTTTAGGAGATGCGAGGGGCACTCTGCCCGCGAGTCATCTCTAACTTCGGCAGGGTTCGTAAAGGACGAGGTTACAGGTTGTTGGAAAACAGGTGAGCTTTCGTCTGAAGACTATCTCAACTTGAGTGGTTGGCAGATCGACCAGAACTTTGAAGAGGCGCCGGCCCGTTTGCTTAGGAAAGACAGATGGCAGCCCAAGCTTTGGGGACGCTGGCGGTTCAATAAGGGCATCCTCACCTTGGAGGCCAGGGCAGCCGTAAAGGCGTTGAGGCGTGTCGCATTGAGTCGGTTTGGGTCACAAATACGACAGCTTTTTCTCCTTGACAACATGTCGGTTACTTTGGCCTTTGAACGGAGTCGCAGCCGTCAATTTGGTTTACTCAAACAAGTGAGGCTGTTCAATGCATATTGTATTGGTCGGGGCATTCAACCTAGTTTTAGATGGATACCCAGTGAACTGAACAGTGCAGACGAGCCCTCACGGTTTGGAACTGATGAGCCTTCAAAGTTGCTGACAGCGTGCATCGCCCATGGCGCCAAAGCAGAGTCGGTGCCTCCCGCCTCCAGCGGGACAACCGCCTTCAAAGGCGGCCAGAGTGGAGGCCCGGCTCAAACCGGGGAAGTTGACCGTGAACAGTTGCAAGGACAAGAAGGTTCCTGCTTTGAAACCAGCGGAGACCGAAGAGTTTCTGACAACCAAAGGGAGTCTAGGCGCGGTGCCCACTCTCGAGAATCCTGGCGACGAGCCTGTGGCGGTTCGAGACAGCGGCTCAGTCTCGAGCAGTTCAGACAGCAGCAGCGATTTCGAACTGGTGCAGAAGAGACGAAAGAACCTACACTCTCGGGCCCGCCACCGGAGAAGAAAGTATGTGGACTTCCTCATCGCGGGCAGGGGCAAGAGCGAGCTGACCTTGTTAGAAAGAAAGGCAATTGGAGCTGCGTCAGAGAAGATGTACCAGAAGGAGATGCAGGCCTTCCTCGACTATGCCCAATGTCGAGGCCTGGACGTCAGCAAGGCAGAGACAGTCGACAAGTTGATGGTGCAATACATGAACCTGTGTTATCTGGGGGGCCACCAAGCCTTTGTGGGCGACAGGCTCATTGCCAGTTGGCTGCATCATCACCCTCAATACAGCAAAGCTGGAGTAAAGAGGATTCCTCGTGCACTTCGCTGCCTCAAAGGGTGGAGACGCCTCTGCCCCGGAAGGTCCAGGGTTCCTTATCCTTTGGCCATTTGGTGCGGGGTAGCATGTTTGATGATGGAGGCTGGCTTTCCCAAGATGGCTGTTTTCGTCATGTTGGCCCTGTCTACATACAGTCGACCCTCGGAGCTTTTGAGATTGAGGAGGTTCAGCCTGATCCCGCCTGCCACCGGAGTGACGGGCAGCTGGAGTCTCCTCTTGAGCCCCGAGGAATTGCAACAAGCCTCAAAGACAGGAGACTACGACGTCAGTGTCCTGTTAGACTCTCCCTATACAAACTGCTGGGTCACCAATGTTCTGAAGTCCTTGAAGAAGGGAGCCAGCAGTGCTCGCCTGTGGGACTTCGACTACAGCCAATACCTGGCAGTGTTCAAGAGGTGCGCCAAGAAGATGGACATCCCCCTGGAGCCATACCACTCCCGGCACAGCGGCCCATCCATCGACCGGAGCCGCAAGTACCGGTCACAGCTGGAGGTTCAAAAGCGGGGGCAATGGAAGAGCAACAAGTCAGTCGTTCGCTACGAGAAGGCGGCAAGGCTGGCTCGAACCTGGGAGCAGATCCCTACCAAGACCAAGGAGTACTCGCAAGCGTGCGAGGCGGCGTTCGACGACATCATGACTGGCCGAAAGAAGTGTCCAAGTTCAAACCGCCTAGGAGAAACCAGAAAGGCTGCTATGTAGCGGATGTTTTCTCTGGACGCGGAGGCGTCGCTTTGGCTTGTGAGAGAATTGGTTTTGTGAGTCGGCAGTGGGACATTCGACTGGGACACCAGTGTGACCTCACCAGTCGGAACGTCCTTTACCGCTTGAAATGTGACATTAGAAGTGGCAAGGTGTTAGCAATGATGATGGCTCCACCGTGCAGTTCTTTTTCAGTGGCCCGCGATCGAATCAAGGTGATTCGAACACGGAACCAGCCATGGGGAATTTCGTCTGAGTTTTTGACCACAGCTGAGACGGAAAAGATACAGTTGGGCAATGCTTGCTTCAAATCGTGTTTTGCCTTGATCCGGACGCTGGACAGATTTGGCATCCCATGGATACTCGAGAATCCAGCTTCCTCAAAGTGTTGGCACCTTCCTTTTCTTCAGAGTATTTGCAGACAACAACATGTCCACAACATATATTCTGATTTTTGTCAGTTCGGCACTATTTGGAAAAAGCACACACGATTTGTTTGTGGCAACATCGAGTTCGATGACTTGCATCGTGTAAACTTGCAGTGTCAGGGTCAGTCTGTATGCAGTGTTACACGCAAGCCACATTTCCACCTCACTGGAAAGGGGCCCCATGGCAGACATTGGACAGAGATCGCCCAGCCTTATCCCCGACGGCTGTGCGATGGACTAGCTTATGCTTTGACGGCCAAACTTCACTACAATTATGTTTCCTACTAAAATACTGGGTTGAGCAATATCTGGTGAACATCTTTTTTCTTTTGGAAGCTACCTTTGGAAAAGATGCTTTTGGAAATATACCAGGGTGCTTGAAAACCGGCGTAGTGGCATCAGCT